TAGGACATGGTCTTCTTAAAATACTCCCTGACCTTGAAGTCAGTGCCCTAGCATATTTTAATGTCTTCTGTTTTCTTTCTGTTCTTTTTTTGAGACGGAGTTTCGCTCTGTGGTCCAGGCTAGAGTGCAGTGGCACGATCTCGGCCTCCCAGGTTCACATCATTCTCCTGCCTCAGCATCCCGAGTAGCTGGGACTAGAGGCGCCTGCCACCGCGCCGGGCTAATTTTTTGTGTTTTTAGTAGAGACAGGGTTTCACCGTGGTCTCGATCTCCTGACCTCGTGATCTGCCCGCTTCAGCCTCCCAAAGTGCTGGGATTACAGGCGTGAGCCACTGCGCCCGGCCTCTCTTTTCACATAGACAGTAATTTCACCATGGCTCACATGTTGAATGTAGATGTCAGCTGATATTTATGCTGTTACGTGTTCATCACCAGCTTTCTGGAGAAACAAACTCAGTATTCAATTATACTCTTTTTTTTTGAGCTTCCAGAGTGCTTATTGCAAAATAACAAGAAGATTTTAACTACCTGTACCATGGCACACCTGTGCAGACCACCTCTCTGTTCTGTCAGCACTGCTCAGCCACTTCATGTCACTGAACCTGCAGTTTTCCACCAGCTGCGGAAGGCCCAGTGGTGTCTTGCATCCAGCAGGCCATGGCTGGGGCCACAGCCCAGCTCTCTGGCACACTGAGGGGCTGGCTGGACCATTGAGTGCTTCCCTCACACCTGAGCGCAGGTGTCTCTCTGTCCCTGAGCACTGTGTGTGTCCCTGACAGGGAGGTGCCACAAACACTACAGGACAGGGGAAGGGGGATGCCACCTGCCCTCAGATGTGCCACATGGGGCAGGACTGCCATGAGCATGCACAGTGCACCTTCTGGAGCCTAGAGGTGTGAGTGAGAGGCTCCAGCTCAGCTCATTTTATTGCAGTGGTTAATATTAATACTTCAGGGTTTTTAATTCCAAAATATGTTTCTCACAGTAGTAGAAAGTGCCTTTTAAATGTTCAAATGTATCCTCAGATATGATAGAAATGATTTCAGTCTACCACGACCTCAGAATAACTTACGCACTTTAACACTACTATGGCTTTTCCCTGGCGGTTTTAGGCTTCGAGCCCTGCAAGGGAGACTGGGTAGAGGCTGAGTACCGGATCCGGCCTGGCACATGGAACAGCGAAGCCACCTCGGTGAAGCCTCTGAGATACAAGCGCATAGACAAGGTAGCGTGCCGACGAGTGGCTCCTCTCTGTGCTTCTAGCAGACCTGCCATCAGGGGTAACTTGCACAGCCCAGGCTTCTTCTGCATGTGTTGGGAGCCTGGAAAAATACAGTTTAGTCATGGCCAAGGGGGAGTGTGTCTTCCTATTGATAATGCTGTGTTTCCTTAGGAAACAGTAACCCTGAGTGCTTGCGTAGCTAAATTCTAAGGTCTACAGCTTATGCGACAGTACTAAAATGTTCTAAGGAGAAAGGTGTGTTAGAGAAATATTGGACTATGTAACAAACCTGCACGTTATCCACATGTACCCTAGAACTTAAAGTATAATTAAAAAAAAAAAAGAAAAGAAAATATAGAAGAAAAAAAAAAAGAGAGAAATATTGAACGAGTGCTATGGGATGGCGGACTTGAGCTTCCTGGTGCAGCTTGTGTGCTTTGGGCTGACTTGGGTGTGCGTTAGAGCTGTGCCCTGGCGTCGTGCAGCACCTGCTTCCTGTGACAC